GCCATTCTCCTGCCTCAGCCTCCCAAGTAGCTGGGACTACAGGCGCCCGCCACCACGCCCAGCTAATTTTTTGTATTTTTAGTAAAGACGAGGTTTCACTGTGTTAGCCAGGATGATCTCGATCTCCTGATCTCGTGATCCGCCCTCCTCGGCCTCCCAAAGTGCTGGGATTGCAGATGTGGGCCACCGCGCCCGGCCCCCTCGCTGCTTTTGAAGAGTTTCTGTCTTCCTTGGATTTTCAGCCGTTTTACTCCAATGTGCGTAGGTGAAAACCTTTTCCTATCCTGCTTTGGGCTTGTAGGGCTTCTGGAATTGGATGGACTGATGTCTGTACAAGATTTACTTTTGTGTTACCCCAGATCTATGTGCTAACCTTATTGACACAGATTCATATCTGCCCTCTGTGGTGGCTGTTCTCTGATCCTTGTCACACTTGAGCACAACCTGTGGCTTATCTCACACACTTGCTATGTGCTTTCATGTCCTGCCCTGGGACTTTCCCAGTGGGCTGAGGCACTCAGTGCTCACGTGTACACAACCTTGAGGTGTGGGAGGTATCACGCCATGTAGTGGGTTCTACCCAATGGGAGAGGAAAAGTCCTGGACAGTTTTCTCTCCCTTCCTTCTCAGAACCAGATTGTTGAAGTAACAGTGGCTGACATACCTTTCCTGATGATGGGTTGCAAGACGAGGTAATAGACTTGTAATGAGTGTACGTTAGTATAACACATACTATATCTGTACTGCATCCTTCTCTATCTCACATCATTTTACCCCACTCTTGTGCTTGTGGGAATACACTTACCAGTAAAGTAAACATGTAAGCTTTTGCCTCAAGCTCTGCTTTTTAGAGGATCTGGGCTATGACAATGTTTTTAGTCAGTTTGGAAATTTTTCAGCTATAAGCTCCTCAAATACTTATTCTGACCCACTTCCTCTTTCCTTTTTTTTTCTGGAACTCCAGTGAAATGCATGTTAGTTTTTTTTCCTTCACCACATCCTCTGGGTTTATTATTCTCTCTCATGTAATTTTTATCTGTTTGTCTCTCCACGCTTCATTCTGTTTTTTTTTTTCTCTCCGCTCTTATAGTAATTCTCCTTTAAATCTGATGTCAAACCTAACCGCTAAATTCTTAGTTTCAGTTATATTTTTTAATGTTCGAATATGTCTGGGTACTTTTAAAAAAATTGTCTATGTTATTTCGGTACAGTTTTCAACTGTATTTTCTATCTTAGATTTGTTTACTTGGCTATAGTAAACATAGTTATTTTAATATCTGGATCTGTTAGTTCCAATATTCAGAACCCCTACAGATCTAGGTGTATTACTTACGGTTTCTTTCAGTCTTCATATTATCTTGTCACCTCATGTGCTTGGGTACACAAGAGTGTGTGTTGGACATTTTATTTGAAAGATTGTTCACACAATTTGAGCCCTAGGAGATACCTCTCCCCAGAAAATATTTTCGTGTGTTTTAATCAGGTCCCTATGAGCACTGTCATCTTGGCTGACCTCAATCTGATTTCAGAGACTAGACTTCCAGATCACTGGAAGCTGGGCTGTGGTCTGAGGAAGGGCTGCTTTTCTTCTAGTTCTCCCTACAGTTGGGGTACTGTCATTTAGATAAAAGTGTGTGTGGGGGGAGTGGGGATTGTGCTAATAGGACATTTCCCTTAGTGGGACCTGGACTCCAACTTTTGTACCCCTTTTACATTACAACTGTCAAAAGAACCACTCCTCCTTTTAGCTGGAAAATGCCCTAGAGGTAAATAACCCCAATTGCCAGGATTCCTATCTTCTAGATTTTGCTAAAATCTAAATTAAATGAAGAACACATTGTCAAATTATGTGCCAGCAGAGTCAAGCTGGCAATAATTCTTTTCTGTACTGATAAAGAAATACGATAAATATTTTTATACTTTAGAAATACAGAGATGATCCTAAAAGAAGCTACCACATTGCATCTTCAACTCAACATTATGTCCAGAACTACAATTTATCAAGTAAGAAAATGTATCCAGTAAGAAAAATAATCAAAAGTACAGATTATGTTGGAGGTTATTTTCGAAGGACATAATAATAATTTCTGGTATGTGTTTCACAATGACTCTGGTCAAATAATACTTCCTGGAAATTTTTACATTAATAGATGACAAAGCATAGATAACATTAACTCAATTTCACATGAATATCTGTCTCACAAAGAAAACAAGATGGGTAACTCTTGTGAAAGTTTGCAATTTAACGGCCAGGCGCAGTGGCTAAGGCCTGTAATCTGGGAGGCTGAGATGGGTGGATCACCTGAGGAGCACTTTGGGAGGCTAAGATGGGTGGATCACCTGCGGTCAGGGGATTGAGACCAGCCTGGCCAACATGGTGAAACCCTGTCTCTACTAAAAATGCAAAAATTCGTCAGGCGTGGTGGTGCACGTCTGTAATACCAGATACTTGGGGGGCTGAGGCAAAAGAATTGCTTGAACCCAGAAGGCGGAGGTTGCAGTGAGCTGAGATCATGCCACTGTACTCCAGCCTGGGCTACAGAGCGAGACTGTGTCTCAAAAAAAAAAAAAAAGTTTGCAGTTTAACATTTTACCAAAGGATATTCTTTGAATTTGATTTATGATACAAAGCAAAATCCTTCTGTTGCTGTGGGGGAGATGGTACATCACTTTTATTGTAGTGATCTATCTATTAAGATAGATCCTTAGTTAATTACAAGGACACAAATTAATTAGCATTTTTTATAAAAACAGCCTGTGGAGATTGAATGTACTTGCAGTTATGGAGAAAAGACATCAGGATATTACCTACTAACAGTGAAATCAAGAAGTTATAGCATTTTTTTCTCTAGTCTTCCATTTTTGTTGTTAGAAGACCTAAATCTGCATATGATCTCTTATTACTTGAGCTTCAAATTTGCTTTCTCTTAAATACATAATCTACAGTTTCAATACTTACGCAATAAAATTTTTGATGCATTCCTTTCAGACTACAATATATACAACATTTTATCAGTATTACCACTATATAGAGGCTTATCATAGTCCACAATATTGCTAATATGCCTTACACAATTTTCTGAAAGGCTACCAGCCCATGTAACTCAGCTCCTTCTCTCCCACTGCTGAAATGTGGTAGTTTCTATTTGAATGTGAATATGCAAATCCTAGACAAGTTCTAATTGACAAGAACATCGATAGCATATTCGTTGTCAATAAGAGCACACACTACTCCTCTGTTGATTAAGGTGAAATCTAGAGTCAAGAACTTCCAAAGGACCACGGCCCTAGTGGCCACTGTATCAGTACTGAGCAGATTTTAGAGATGTAGCCGAGGCATTGCCAGATTGTTCCAAAAAGGCCAGCACGGTCCTCAATCCTTGAATAGAATGTAAAACTCCATTTGATGAAAACTTACTATTCTATTCTTCCAAACTGTAGTGTTTCATTTATGTAATGGAAGCTGTGAACCTTTCCAATATGGAGAGTTGGGAGATGACTTGTGTTGGAAGTACTATAACATACATGTGTAAGATGAACATATAATTTCTCATCCAAACTAGGATACTTCTGAAGCAGAAGGTACTGTTAGTATTTATACATTACTGAGATATAAGGTACAAACTGAAATTTGACAAGAGCAAATAGTAGCGTGCAGACTCGAACCAGACTCACCCTACCTATAATGCAAGAAATGGACCAAATGCACGGTAAACACAGGCAAGCATAGTTTCCACAAATAGAATAGGTGCGCTTATGAGTTGTAATAAAGCTGCAAGTTTCATCTCAAGAACAAAAGAGAAATCTACTTTGCAAGGGTCATATTTTCAGCACAGCCCAGGCTGGGTACCATTATTATATCACAACCATCCAGGAACACCGTTTTTTTCTTAACAGGATGAAGCAGACAAGTACCAAGTTCAGAATTAGAACTCTGCTGTACCCAAATCAATATTTAGCTAGATGTTTGCCTTCCTTTGCCCAGCCATCACACCTACCATCCTAGGTGCAAGACAAGGCGTCAGAGAGATTCCTTACACAGTGATGAATGGAGTATAAAAGCAGATATAGAAATTAGATATATTTTTAACATTTGCACATTGATATAACAATAAAAAATGCAATGTTATTGGATTCACAGGTTACCAACTCGTGTAAATAGTCATGGTTACCAGTTCTGGCCCCATCTTTTTTTTTTTTTTTTTTT